GCAGAAACAAGGGGTATTCAGGACACCTTTAGAGTATCTCTCTCTCACTTTTTGATTGGATATTTCTTGAAAGGAAATGACAAGAGGCACTGGCACCGAAATACCTTTGAGTATCCGAGTCTAATGCTATTGGCAGATACTGTGCAAACACCATCCCACCCCCACCCTCCTTCCCCAATTTACTTTATTGCTTCTCTCCTGTGAACAAACAAATCCTCCCCTGGGAATATTTATCTTTGGATCAGGATAGCTCCTTCTCAAGTGAGGTCAGGCCAGTTCACAGGTCCTTCAGACATCCGTGGAGTTTAAGGCTAGAAGGGACCGCAGGGCCATCTAGTCTGACTGCTTGCACAGCACAAGACATTACATTTGATCCAGTTACCCTTTACTGAGCTGAACACCCACTTGGACACAGGATGACAAGAGAAATATCCCAGCAGCATGCATTTGGGACAGCTGCTGTGCTCAGGAGAGCAGGGTGATCTTTTTTAGCTAAAACTTCTGTGAATTTCTCTCCATGTTACTCAGTAGCTTGTGCAGGCAAAAATACCGCAAACAACCAAGAAATGGAAAAAGCCAAAATGTTTTGTTTCAACGTTTCCAACCTGCGTCATTTGTTCCATTGAAAATGTCATTTTGTTTTGAAATGTTTTTCAATTCTAGTGCAAGATAAACCCTGTAAAAACACTCCAAACCAACCTACAATGTTCTGGGTCAAAAGAAGCATTCCCTTTGAGCCCAAATAATATATATATATATATGTATTTTTTAAGTTCTTCCCCCTTTTTTGTTTCATTTTTCTGTCAACAAGTGGAAAGGTCAATGGCTTGCACAGCTTTGCCGTGAGTGGTTCCACAGGCCACCACAAAGCAAAGGCAACCCGCAGCTCTTCACGGGATCCTGGAGCCCATGTGACCAGTGTGTAAATAAAAAGGCAAGTTGGGACTATTCTAGCGAGAGGTTTTGTACCCTTCTGCCAGGTGTCTGATGGAGGTGGCTTGGCCAGAGGTGAGGAGCGTTTGCAGCTCCTGTTTAAAAGGCAGCTGGAGGAGTGATTCTCAACCTGGGCTGCCATGAGATGCTTTTAAGGACCCTGCAGGGTGCCATTCAGCATAAGGACCGTTAGGTGTACAGACACCTACACGCGATCCACAAGATAAACCCAGAGATTTCTTTTGGTCATCCAGTGTCGAAGCCATCCCGACTCGTCTTTCGGAGTTCTTTCCAACAGCACAATTGCTCTATTATTTTCCCTAGTCCACGAACAAGTGAAAGCTGAGAGACGGCATTTTCTGGGGAGGCCCTTGAGTATAACAAGGTTGAGCGCTTGACTGGAGGGATTTTAAACTGTTGAATGCTGGGCTGCACAAGTGCAGTTACAGGGCTGGGAGGCAGCCGCGAGATCCTGCTAAGGACAGAAAACAACAAAAGCCTGGAGGCCCTTCCCGGGGTACTGCATGACCTGGGGCCAACGTGCGGTGCATTCGGAGCTCTGCAGGGTTACTGGATACTAGACTTACAAAGCAGGGACGGTCTTTTGTCCATAAAACCTCTGCCTGGCCTGGGACTGAGTCTGCCCAGAGCTGTGCACAGGGAAAGGGATTTTTTTTTCGTGAGGAAAGAAAATGATAAGTTGGAAAGGAAAAGAAAAGTGGGAGCTTTTCTCAAGGCAGGTTGATATATATATATTTTTTAACAGCAGCAGCAGCTGTCTGCTTAGAGGTCTGGAACATCCAAAGTCAATTTGGAGGAGGTGGTGAAAAGGTGTGAGATAAATCAATGGCTATGTGGCTTTTAATTCCCCCCTCCCATTCTCTCTTTATCCGATGCCCCAGCACTTTCTGGCTTCTTTATAGCTGCCCTTGCAATGGGAATAGGAGGCCTGACCCCCGTGCAGCACCCACGATGCAGTCAGTGCCTCCGAGCTACTCACCTGGACTTGGTAAGCAGGGAACAGCAGTGCCTGTAGGACAACGGGGATCTCAGCACGTGACATGAATGCTGACCTTGCTGGGATGATGGATGCTTATCTTGTTGGGGTGATCTGACCCCAGCTGACTTCCTGCCCCTGGGGCAGGGGGCTGGACCCGATGATCTCGCGAGGTCCCTTCCAGACCTTATGTCTATTAAATCTATGAAATGAAAGGCAGGGACAATGCCTCAGGCCCAATAGAAAGTATTTTATTTCAATTACAATAAGCTCCACAATGAGGGGTGAAAAAATAGTTACAAAAAATTCCCTCCTTTTACATATAAATATTACAAGTCCCTCCAAGTCCTTCCCTTCGTCTACAATGCGATGCTGCCCCTCGTGCAGAAAGCAGGCTGGCACCCGTGACTCTCAGTGGTTTCCTTTTAAACCTGGGAGAGAGGGACAAAAGCCCTGGAAGGCCCCCAGTCTCCTCTGAACCCCTCTCAGGCAGCTCCCCAAAAGTGCCGGGAGCAGAGGCTGGGGGAGCCGGATCCCTTCCTTCGCTCCCAGGGAGATGGCTAGTCTAACGCTCACAGCCCGGACTGCCCCTTTCTTCTCCCCCAGTGCTTGGGCCCTCTCAATTGACAGCACATCTTGAAGCGATCACGGCATTCCTCTCCCCTCTGGTAACGAACATCAGATAGGTTCCAGCTGTGCGACTAGGCTACCTATGGGAGGAACATTTAGGCTGACATGAGAGAAAAAGCAAATTTACACAAAGAGGAAGGGAGCAGCCCAGGGTCAGCGCCGGGAGAGATACCGAGACACCGCCTGTCGTCGTGAGGCCTCAGCCTGTCTCGTTCGCCCGCGCAGAGCATCTCTTTGGGGTTTCAGCAGAGGTCAGTTTGCTTAGGTTGGGCCTCCCTGACTTTGCAAGGAAGGAAAGGGGCAGACATGGACACACATTCCCTTAGCAATGCCAACCAGCTACACCCAAGACTTGAGATCCAGCCATGGCACCGCACAGCTGGCAGTGGGGACCGGGACCACAGGATAACATGAAAATAGCATGCAATGGCACAGCAATCCCCAGACCTGGAAGTAGTGATTTCACTGTTTGGAGCCTGCATCAGATCACAGCTTTTAGGACAGAGGGTGAGGACGCATGAGCAGAAGAGCGGTGCTGTAGCAGTGACACTGCTCTCCCCCAGATAAACTTGCTGTCTGGGAGCAGCAGCTGATCTTCACAAGTCCTACCGCCCCGGGGTGGCCTGAATGTCAGAAATGCCTTTGTGCTGGACTGTGTTGCAGGTTCTTGGCTCTTTGGACTGCCAGGTCATAGAAGGCAGGGTAGACATGCACCTTACAGACTAACTAAGTCAGGCCATAGGCTGTTAGCTTTGTTCCCTTATTTGAAAGATGACCAGCCACCTTCCCCTGCACACCCAGGAGAACCAGCGTCCAGCCCCTGCTGGGTCTCCACTTAGAAGGGAGATGGGGTCTAGCACTTTCCTTTCAGACAGCAATGGGAGAAATCTGCAAGCCTCTACCACAGGGTCAACTCTCCCAGCCTGGGGGGTACTTGGGGGCTCTTCCATAGATTTCATAGACGTTAGGGCTGGAAGGGACCTTGGAAGACCATCGAGTCCAGCCCCCTGCCCCAGGGGCAGGAAGTCTGCTAGGTTCAAAGGATCCCAGCAAGATAAACGTCCAAATGTCTCTTAAAGGAGGCCAGAGTAGGTGCTTGCACTGCCCCCCAGTTCCCTTTCTCTCTCACATGCAACAAAGGCTGGCAGCCTATAAAGCGAGCCGGCATCACAACTCAGTGCTCCCAGCACCAGCCCCCATGGGACCATGCCATGGGACTCCAGTGTCTCCATGCTCCCAACTAGAGATCCTGCAATGTCCCTTTCGAGAAAGGAGGTGCTTCGATATGGCAGCATCCAAGGAGGCTACAGGGGTCAGTATGCAGTGGAAATACAAAGGAAGGACAGAGTGAAGAGCTGGGGGGCATGGTACTGAGTGCCCCCCTCTGCTGCCTTCTTTCCAGCCAGGGCTCCCTGCCCCTCTGGGTTCCTGGGGGATTGTTCCTTTGGGCTTCCCTTTCCTCCATCCGAGACTGGGATTGGAGCAGGGAGATTTGAGCTGAACTCTGCAGGAGCAAAACGCATGCACACTCATGGCGTTCAGCCTCCGCACAGGTCATTGCCCAGCCGAAGGCCAGTGGAAAGGGCTGCTTTCCCACACACAACTGCTGTTGTAAGGCACTGGGAAGTCTTTGACTCATGCTGTCGTCAGGCTCCAGGCAAGGTGGTGCAGAGCTCACGCCCATCCCCTTTCTGCAGGAACGGCCCCCACGAGGCAGGCGGGGGTGGGGAGAACAGTGTTGCTGGGCTGGTAGAGGATCATTCAAGGAACAGCTGCATTCCCCATGATCTCCACCAGCCCAGGGACCAGGCGGTCCTGTGGTTTTCCCTCCATCTTACAGAGCTGCCCAAAAGAGATGCTGGTGGTGTCGCTACCTGGTACCGGGGAAGGGGTCTCAGACTCCACAGGTTCATGAGCTGTGCCTGAACACAGCCGTTCCCCCAGCTTCAGTGGTCCATCCTGCCAGCCAAACACAAAAGTGACACACCACTGCGTGTGACACCAACACTGAGAACTAGCATGTAAAGAGGGCTGGGCTGAGCCTGGGCTGGCCCAAAACAGCAAGACAAAGGAAGAGCTCATCACACAACTTGCCCAAATATTTCATTAACAACATCTTTGGAAGGGGCGGAGGGTGTCTTGAGGGATGGGAAGCCATGGACTAGCTGTACTTAACACTGTACAACAAGCAGGCCTGCCTTCCCTTCCCTTGACATTCAGAAAGTAAAGCTATCCAAGAAGGCTTAAAGTTGCAATGAAGCCTTTGCTAGAAGAACAGCTGCCTCTTCTGCTCCGAGGGACAGTCTACAGCAAAACCTGTCTGCAAGCAGAACTTAGTACGGCGTCCAAGCCCCGTTGGTCTTGGCTGGAAAAGAAAGTGCTCAAGAGAAGCTCAGATTTTGTCGCCAAATGTAAGCGCTCACAGGGCAAAGGGCATCTCCTGCTCCTCACCCACAGCTCCTTAATGCTGCGTTCCCAACCCACTAGCTAGTCCGCAGTGGTCGCTGAGGACTAGGAGGATGGTTCCCTGAGCCGGTTAGTGAAGCCAGGGATTCAATAAGAATCCCGGCCGTTGGGGATGAAAGGTCAATTTGCTGCTCCGGTGACCCTGCAGGACCCTCCCGTCTCCTCTGTTTCAACAGAACAGGCTCTTCTGCAAATCTTACATCTATAGCCACGTTACGTAAAAACAAAAAAAAGGTAATAAATACACTAATCCTTTGCTTACAAAAAAGGCTTCTAAATGCATTATCCCTGAAATTTTCCAGTGTATTCCACAACGTTCAAAAATATTTTCCCAAAAATATATCTTAAAATATTTTACATATTTATATATGCATGTGTATCTATGCAGATAAGTGGATGTCAGACATATTTAGACCCAGTCAGACCGGTTATCCCTTTTGTCTGTGGCATTCCCTTTATGACTTTTAGCAAGAAAGAAAGGTCTTCAAACCTGGCATATGGCAAGGACTGAACTGCGTAGGTGTGAATAGGGGTTAGTGCATACAGACACACGCATATACACGTGCCCCATTCAAGGTGAAAAAGTCATTCACAAGTGGGTGAGAGTCCGAGGAGGCTTCACAGTGGATCCAATCTCAGATGATGCCGTGAACCTAGTGCTCAGGGGTCCGTTCCTGCCGAGAGCTTGACAGTTCGCTGAAAGAAGAAGTAGTTGCCCTTCGAGCAGAGGGTCAGGGAAATTCAATTCTTGATGAAGGACGAATAAGCCAGAAGCTGGTTCCACTCTTCCCCCATCCCCTTCTCTTCACCAGACTTCGCACTTCTTTTGGGGGTTCATGGGAGCGCCAGGAGGACAGTGGAAGTGCTCGGAGAACTCCTTGGAATTAGAGATAGTACCAATGACGCGGAAACGGGATGGGCTGTGGGGATCGGTGATGAGTCCTTCGTGGGAGCTCTCGGGGGTGCGAACAGAACACCAGACCTACAAACGCAAGGCTAAGAGAGTTAGGTCAAGGTCTTCTTTTTGGCTGGAAACGTGCTCCCTGTGCCAGCCCCCCGGGCATATGAAAATACAGATGTTTGCAGACGAGTTGTTGATCACAAAAAACTAATCACAGTGGACACAAACACAGGTGGAGTCCCAGCTTTGTCTCCCTTGTTTACCAGTGCCCGTACCCTGCTCGATACTGTGCAGAGAACACGTGTCCAGAAGCAGAGTAAGGCGCTAGTTCACAAGGACACCCCCCGGGCATTTCTTTAACGGAAGAGGCCCTATCAGGAGGGCTGGGCGTCTTGCTTTACTGTGAGCAAACATCAGACCAGTCCCACTACACCGAGGCTCAGAAGTGGGCAGCGTTATCTTGCAAGTCACACAGTGTCCCCAGAAACAGAGGGACAAGGATCGTACCCACGCGAGGCAGGGAGAGGGCAGAGACGTACCTGGGCAAACCCCACAAAGAAGAGCTGGTGATTGGTGAGCCCCAGGGTCGGCAGCATGTCCTCGTTCCCATTCTTCTTCAGCCAATTTAGGTAGGCCTGCGGGCAGGAGACAACCGTGGGTAACTGCATCCTCTGGTGAGCTAGTGGCTGTACTTACAGCATCAGCAATGTCTCCCTGCCCTGGGAACCCAATATACTGGACCAGTTAGAGATAGAGAAATTAGCCCCTAAGGGACTATACCTCTTTAGTCTCCACAGCATTTGCTGGCGGTTACAAAAGTCTTCCCCTCTGCCTGTTCTGAAAGAAACACTCAAAAGGCCCCAGGGCAGTGGCTCTCAACCTTTTGAGACTCCAGGCACCCCTCATTTGACTCGAGAGCTGCACTCAGAAAATGTCAGCTCTGAGCTTTCATTTATTTCTTGACTACGGAAAAACACTAGAGCAATTCTACTGTCGCAGAGAGCTCAGAAAGACCCCAGAGGAGCAGAATGGTTGTGACACCATGGATTCCTCACCGAAATCTCCGGTAGGTGTTTGCACATCTCAGTGCTAATACCCTGCGGCACCCTCAAATGGATCCTGCTGCATCCTAGTTGACAACCCTTGCCCTCGGGACTGGGACGGGAAGCACAAAATAAACTCGGGATGCCCAGCAAGAGGTGTGCTCCTTCCAGGGGCTGTGGATTCTCAGACCTACCATCTCCTGCTTAAGGACAGCAGATCCCAAGCTCAGGAGTCACCTGAAAATCTGTTTTTAGCTGTGGCCCGCCGTAGTGGTCCATGCCTTCACTCAGAAATGACACCAAGAACCGACGCTTGGTACCTTATCCTTTATGAGAACAGTGTAGCCTAGTGGGTAGAGCTCTGGACTGGGGGCTCAGGAGATCTGGATGCTATTCCTGGCACTGCTACTGACCGGGGCATGGCTTTTCTCTCTGTGTGTAAAATGGGGAAGATGATACCAACTCCTCTGCAGAGCACTTTGGGATCCACTCAGGAAAAGTGCTCTGTAAGAGCTAGGAAGTGTCCGTGCGGTGTTATGCTCATTGCTAGGTAACCAGGAATGTCTCCAGCTGCTGCATTCGATGAAACAGGACGAGCGCTCTGCAGTCCGCGAGTACAGGATACAACAAAAGGGAACAGGCGGGGGCCTGGACCCCGTGCTGGGCTCTTACCCGATAGGCAGCTTTCAGGCCTCCGTTGTCGGCAATGTTCTCCCCTAAGGTGTGTCTACCATTCACCGCCTCGCCGTTCACGGTGTAGTTGCCGTACTGCTCCACCATGCACTCTGTCTTATGCTTGAAGGCCTCTACCGAGGAGTTCTTCCACCACGGACGCAGGTTCCCATCTTTATCATATTCGCGACCTGTAAAAGAGCAGCCCGAGTGAGATGCGGGAACGGGAGCACACGTCACTGGGAACTCCTCCCAGCACAGTGACGCTGAAGGGCACCGGGCGGTTGTTTCAAGCTCACCAGCTTTCGTCAGTCACCAAGGCCACTGGAAGGCAGAGAGCACATTTGCAACAGCCAGGACTTTTCAGAAGGAACAGATACACCGTCTCTCTATTTTATGGGATCAGTGCAATTCCTACTGGAAGAGACTGCAGACATCTGTCTGTCCCATGCAACAGATCGGCACGGTTGCTTCTGAAGGTAACATGCTCCCCTCCACTGTTTGTCTTTAAGATGCCAGGTCTTAATAAGACCCAAGAGCATGTCCTCATTTTGCTGCAAAAGCAGCTCAGTGCATTTGCTCTTGCACCTCAGAGACTAGGCAAAGCCTCAGCTGCCAAACAGATGAACCTGCTAGGAAAGACACAGCCCTGACATAACTTCCTTCAGGTCCCTGGAGCTAGGTCAGACCTATGGCCAGGAGATCCCCATTCACACAGCCTCTTTCATCTGGAAGAGTGCCATCGACTGTCAGTACTATGTCCTGGCATGAGAAGCCTTTCAAGGCCATGTAGAAATGAGCCCTGTTGGGAGACTCCAGACTGCCCACCTTGATCATCAAAGGCGTGAGTCAGCTCATGGCCTACGACAACGCCAATCCCACCGAAGTTCAGCGACCTGTGGGAGAAAGACACGGAGCTTTAGGACACCTGGGCTGGACCCACTGTCTGTTCAAATGCTGCCCTGGTCCTGCATGGCAGGAATGGGAATGGGCTAAGGGAGGTGGATGCTGGACTCAGCAATGAAAGTGTGCTCCTCCAGCAGCCCCTCGCACATGCTGACAGCACTCACTGCCATGAAGACCTCTGGCATCTCCTCATGCAAGTCTGGCAGAGCTGGGAACCCCTCTGGACCCAACCCCCCCGATGCTATTCCAGCCCATGGCTCAACCTTTCATACCGAAAGCTGCAGCTGGTCATACACAGCAGCAAGAGACGTCTACCAACCTCCTACCAAGCGTTTACCATGGGACCTCTCCCCACCCACTCTGCTGGATAGCCACATTGAGGAAAAGCCAGGTCTTGTCCATTGTATTGATCCTCTCTCCCCTGCTCTGCTGGAGAGGGAGAGAAGACCAGCAAGAGGGGGCTCCTACTTGGGTGAGGTACGGGTGTAGAAAGGAGCCTGCAGGATCCCGGCTGGGAATACGATCTCGTTCTTGGTTGGAGAGTAGTAGGCGTTCGCTGCCGGAGGGGTCATGCTCCATCTGCAGGAAACAAGGGAAGGGTCATACCAGCAGTGAACATGCACATCTTCATCTCCCCCACAAACCCTGAGTCTCCAAAAATACTCGTGACTACAAGGGTGTGTAGGACGAACACAGCCATGAGGAAGGACTTCAGGATTCATTGCCACAGCACCGGGGAACAGCCCAGAGACAAAGAGCCCCAAAGCCATCAGTCACTGCAACTGAAGACAGGTGACAAAGATGCAAAAAGCTGCAGGAACAAGACTACGATACGACTCCATGTGATACTTCCATTGCCCACGAGAGGGAACCAGAGCCCTAAAGTAATCCCACCGGCTGGGGACAGTGAGGCTGCAGGACCACACTGGCTGTCTCCAAACAACACACAAACAAAACAATACCCCGTCCTGCTGTGGTTGTAGCACTCCTAGGTGGGAAACCCTTTGTGCAAGGTTTCTTGCTGAGCAAACATGTTGCACCACCTCTCTAATTTCCCGCTCGCTTCTTCCAAGCAAGACGGGCAGGGGGATTGAAGACGGGCAGGGTCTGGGCTAGGACTGGTGCCTCACTCTGCAATCTGTACAGCACCACGCACAGCAGGGCCATAGGTCTTGACTTGGACTCCCAGACACTTCCCACAGTCATAATCCCACCTTTTCCCAATGCTAGACCAAGCAAACATAGAAGGGAGCTGTGCACGTGTGCATATAGTTTAGCCTGCATAGAGCCCTGCTCAGGTGACAGGTAGTTAGGTGGACACAGTTCTTTGAGTAGATGTGATATCTTTTATTAGACCAACTAAATAGTTGGAAAAGTTGTTCGTTGCAAGCTTTCAGGCACAAACACCCTTCTTCAGGTATAGGGAAAGTCTGTTCTTTGGTGGAGGAAACAGGGACCTGCGCATGCTACAGCCTGGAGATTCCAGGAATGGGCAAAGACCATGGTTGAGGAGGGGCTGTATCTGAACTGCCAAGGCCCTAAAGGATGTGAATCAGACCCCAGTATTGCCCTATTTGCTGGGGCGAGAAGGGAAGTGTTCAAAGTGCTCCTCGGAGACTGTTGGCTGTTGGAGGTGGGGGCAATTTTGCTGCTAGTAGCAGTAGCAAAGGGGTTGGGCAGCAGAACAATTCAGGTGTCTTATCACCCTTCCAGAGGTATGAGCTGGAGCCCTGCTCCAGACCTGTCAAAGGCTGCTAGACCCACTTGGGAATGGCACCTGGCCATTCAGGCTGTGGAGTCGATGGCAGCTGGATGATGCTGACTGCATCGCTCCCTTGTGTGTCGGCATTAGAAACTGGGGTGTTGTAGCCACACTGGCAGTATAAGCCACTGGGCTTGGAAGGAGCTTTGGACAGTAGCAACCCCCGAAGCACCAGAAGTGGTCTTAGGTGTCCTCACTGTGCAGTGTTAATGGACCATCCATTCATGTGTCCTGAGAACAGGTAATGAAAAATGAGGAAGGAGACTGGAGTGGGTCCAGAACTGGACTCCAGAGACATTTCCATCCCTAAATCAATGTCATTCATCTTCATTATGGAAGAAGTCAGACTTTTTACTGGTCAGAGCTGGAGCTACCCAGATTGTATTCTCAGGTCTCCTGGCTGTTGTGCCAGCTTGCTCAAACTGTATAACCTATGGTTGCTCAGGTATCACCGTGCACCAGAGGAAAAACTTCCACCCCAGTCACCCAGTAGAAAAAACAAGGCAGGGAGGACTTACTGGTCTTGACTGGGAGGTTTCCGGAGCTGGTCAGCAGTCACTCTGGCTGAGAAGTTATAAAACTGCATGACGTTCTCGAAGTACAGGTCAGACACGGCTTCATACTGCAAAAACCAAACCGCAACTCAGCGCAGGAGAGGAAGCCAGGGAGCTGCATCCTTCCTGGTATCATGTAGTGGTCTCCTGAGGTCCTCGCAGGATGTCCACCTTGCATCGTGGATCTGCATCTATCCCTTGTACCCAGGCCCCAAAAGTTGACAGGCAACTGCTCTTCTGTCCCTAAACAAGTAACTCTGGGCCCTTCATATTAAATCCTGATATTCAGCCACACAGGGAGGCTACAGTTCATAGTTTCATAGTTTCTAGGGTC